AGAATTTTTATATATTGTTTACTGGCACCAAAAATGCAGTTAAGCGCTTATATAAATAGAAGTACACCAATCTATCAATTCTATTTAATAACAATCAATAAACTCAACTAAAATGCATTATATCATTCATAAAATGTTGAATTGAAAAAATATTACAACTAAGTATTTACTGTACGGTTTGGATAAAGAGGAAATTTTGTAACTAAATCGTTTTTAAATTTATATATATAATATATATTGCTTGCACTTTGACGGTTGCGTTTATTATAATCACATTGTTTTTCAAACATCACAATATTTTTTTTTTTTTTTTTCAAAGTATTTAAAAAAATTTTTTATTATTTATTTAGCATAAACGTTAAGCAAAACTATTCGCAAAAAAAATGTAATAATCAAAGAATAAATGAAATATACAAACGCATAGTGGACTAAAAAGTGCTATACAGCCGTGGAGTAGTACAGCTGACTTAGCTGCTCTTTGAACTAGTTCACCGTGTGAAACCAAATGCAGTGTAATTCTTGTGTTGTCGTAATCCTGATGTATCCGAGCTCAAAGTATGCATGAAAAACACTTACATCTATCACACAGTTCTAATTTTCTCCAATTTTCAAATTGAATGAATTCTTACATAACCTCAATTTAAGATTCATTCTGTCGGAACTTGTTTGATCACAGACATGGATATGAAAATGCGCTGTAATCATGTATGCGTAAATTGATTTTCCCTTTCACAGAGACATTTTTGCATTAGAAGAAAGCTATTAATGTTTGTAAAACTAAATGCTTATATTTTATTTTTTTCCATAACCGAAAAATCCCTTTTAAGGTATACAATACAAATTTACATACACACGTAGCATTAAACTAGTTTTGAAAAGAAAAGCAAACAAGTTATATGCAAACTTCAATTGCAAAAAGTAATTTTTTTTTTTTACCAACTACAGAAATTACGAATTTGTACAGATCTGAATTTTGTTTGCCCGTGGCAAAGAAAATTGTTTTGGTTTGGCAAAAGTTGCAAAATAAATGTTGTTGTTGTAAATTAATGATGTTGGCATGCTTGGTTATAGACCGTTAAGCGCACTTTACACAGTATATATGTACGAGAGAGTATGTAAAAGTATTTAGTAAGTACGATAAATTAAGAAGCTTATTTTGTTTTATGGTTTTGTTGGACAAAGAAACAACTACGAATAAAAAACTTAGGACATTTGCTACGTATTAAGTTTTGCTCGCCATTTTCAAGTGCTCTTCATGCATTTGTTCTTGGATTTTTGTATGTTTTGTTTTTTTTTTTTT